TAAGAGAACTCTTAAATATAAGTATAGATATAGTGTCACAGTGACTTTAAGTAATATTGAAATTACAATAATAATAAATAGCTGATATACATACAACTTAATAATATTAATATAAAGAAATTCAATAATTATCTCAACAAGAAATCCCTGCACAAACAATTTCAATATTGACAGAATTGAATACAAAAGTACTGAAAGAATGCTTAGATACTCTTGCATATTTTAATACTTTTAATCTCACTCTCTACTCATCATGAAGAATAGAAATGCTCATAAAACTGAGTATAGATAAAGATGCTATCAGTTCACTAAATAATAAAGATTAATATATTAATGAATGATTGAAGAATCATGTGAAATAGAAGTTTTATTCATGAATAAAAGTATGTGAATCAGTGTTATAAATATCTGATAATATTATAAAATATCTTAATATTCTGTTCTGAGATACTGTCATATAATAGAAAGTATTAGATCAATTACAGAGCATTTAACAGAGAAATACTTCTCTTACAATATTCATTCCTGACTTTAATATCAAGATCTTAGAAGCAGGTGATCAATCTTGAGAGAATTGAATAAAGATTAGTATACTTAAGAAGACACTAACTTTTAAACTCTTACAGACTCTTATAAGTGTAAATAAAGACCTGACTAATAAAGACTTCTGCACACAGCTCTGAATATTGAATAACTGTCTTATCAAGCTCAAGAGTATACAGAATAGTAATAGAAGATATTATACTTACACATTTATACTGAGAAATAATTCAGTCACTTATACATCTGTGCTGAGAAATAATAACAATGATACAGATGCTATGAACTCAGTAGACTTGAATATTTATATATAAGTAAGAGTCTCTGCTGTCTGAATAGACTTCTAAGTCTCTGAGATTACTTTCAAAGAAGTCACTGATTAATGTTAATAAGAAGTGTGTATTAACTGTAACTGATTAGAGTATATTACTTTCAACTGTTAATCAGTCTATATATCTTCTTATTCAAAGAATAAATCAGTGTCTGTTTGTGTCAATCATGTTATATTAGAGAAGAATTTGAAAGATAACTATGAGAATGTTCTGATAAAACAGAGAAAAGATTAACTTCTATTCAAACTTATAAGCAGAAGCTTAAAGAGATCAGATAACAATAATTTAAAGAGAAAATAATAATGAATATAATTCTTATATCTACTATAATAGATAACATGTATAATATAAAAGTGATGATAGATAGCAGTCTATGTTATTATATAATGATTAAATCTTCAATTGTAAGATATTACAATCTTTAGTATATTCTCTTATCAAGACCCTGACTTCTTGCAGAATTTAATGATTCAAAAGACATTCACACTCATTATATAGTAAAACTAAACATAGATATTAAAGAATATTAATATAAAGATATCTATATATATAAAGTTAAGAATCTTGACTATAATCTTATACTAGAACTTATCTGACTATCTGAATAAGATATCTTATTAAATGCTTAAAATAGAAGCTTAATATTTTCTAATAATAATAGAATTCATGAAGATAATATTTATAAGACAATGAATCTTACACAGATCTCTATCAATGCTTATAAAATACTCTGAAAAAGAAGTCATTATTAAAACTACTGATAGAGTTACTAACAAAGTCACTGATAGTAAAATTATGTATTAATCTATTTCACTAGTCTGATTAATATTAAGAAAGCTCTAGAAAAGTAATTCTATACTATAATAACAGATTCTTATACAAAACTCTCTTAATAATATCATGAATATCTAGATATCTTCTGATAAGATAATATTATAAATATACCTTCTTTATAAGACTCAGAAGTGAATCACAGTATCAAGTTAGAAAAGAAGAATAATAAGAACTCTGAGTCACTGTGAGACTCTCTTTATAATATATCTTGAGATGAACTTCTTCTTCTTCAGAAGACACTCAATAATCTGTTAAATAAGAGATTTATATATATTAGTAACTCTTTCACTGCAGCTTCTATTCTCTTTATAAAGAAGTCAGATAAAGAACTCTGATTCTGTATAAACTATTAAGATCTGAATAGATTGATAAAGAAAGATTATTATCTCTTATCTCTTATCAATAAAACTCTAGCATATATTAGATAAGCTTAATAGTTTACAAAGCTAGATATTATCACTGTGTTTTATAAGATTTGTATTACTGAAGAAGATGAATGACTTACAGTATTCTGAACATGTTATAATCTCTTTAAATGAGTAGTCACACTCTTTGAACTGACTAATATTCTCAGTATATTTTAGAAGTATATCAACTGAGCACTCTAAGATTTTCTTGATAAGTTTGTATCTGTATATCTAGATGAAATTCTCATCTTCACTCATAGATTCAGAAAAGAATATCAAGAATATATGTAAAAGATATTATAATGATTATGAGAGACAGAACTATCAATAGATATTAATAAGTATAATTTTAAAGTCAAGAGTATAAAATATCTAGACTTTATTATAGAAGCTGATAAGAGAATTTAAATGAATTCTGAGAAAGTCTCTACTATTCTTGAGTAAGAGACTTCATATACTGTGAAAGATGTATAAAGCTTCATTAAATTTACTAACTTTTATCAGTGATTTATATAAAAGTTCTAAGATATTATGAGATCACTTACAGAACTCATTAAGAAAGACTCAGTATTTCAATAATCAGCAGACACTGAAGCTGTATTTATATGAATAAAGAAGATATTCATTAATATCTCTCTGCTGATAATATTTAATTCTGATTATAAGATAGTTATTGAAGCTGATTTCTCTGACTATATCATAGAAGAAGCTATATTGCAGTATAATAATAAAGATGTCTTACAATCATGCATTTTCACATCTAAGAAACTGAGTCCTGTCAAATACAACTATGAGATCTATGATAAGAAACTTCTTATAATTATACATTGTCTAGAAGAATGAGACTCTGAACTCTGAAGTATCTCTGAATTTGAGATAATTATAGATTATAAGAATCTCAAGTACTTTACAATCATCTACAAACTCACTAAATAACAGATATAATGATCTGAGTTCTTAAGCTGCTTTCATTTTATAATACACTACTATTCTAACAGTCAGAATTCAATGATAGATGCTCTCTCATAATAAGAGTAAGATATATTATTTAATATAACAGATACTCACTGAATGAACTGAGAGCACTGACTCTTGAATCTGAAGATACTAGTTAATCAAGATGAAACAGCTCATAACACTATATATACTTCTTCAATTAGAACTGTCACTGATATCTCAACTTCTTCTGAATCTATATTAGATAAACTATAATATACAGCAGCTTAAACTGATGAACTTCTTCAAACACTCACTGAAGCAGTATGATAAGAAGCACTCTGATTTTTCTTAGAACTATGTATAAGAACTGACATCTCAGAATATTTAATCAATAATAATAACACTCTATAATTCTGTGAATAATACTGAGTTCTTTACTCTGAACTCTTACATATCTGAATAATATAAGAGATGCATGACTTTTGTATAACTAATTATTCAGGTTATGAACAACTGTATTAAATAATCTCTTGAGAGTTCTACTGATCTGAGATATTAAACAGCATCAGATATTTTATCTGAAACTGTAACTGTTATTTCTTCATCATCTTATGAAAGAACTGTAGAAAAGACCTGCTGAAATCACTCAATATCTCTGATAGAATCTGATAAGATGTGATAATTGACTTCACTATTGATCTTTTTAAGAGTAAGAATTATAGAAATGTTCTGATCATCATGAACTGATTAAGCAAGAGTATAATATTGAAATCTTGTAATAAGATGAATACTAAATGAGTCACTGAAGCTTTTCTAAGAAACTCATTCTATTAAATATATAAATTACTAAGATCTATAGTATCAGATTAAA